ATTTTTCCTTTGGATAATTTGGTCGTCTAACTGGACTGCACGTACCACTTTATTAAACCCCCACCGGGGGCATCGTGGGATCGTCGCTGGATCGTCGTGGGATCATCGCTGGATCATCGTGGGATCGTCGCTGGATCATCGTGGGATGCACGCATCTTAGTTTTAAGTTAAGTTAAGATTATATAATATATAGATTAAGTTTATCGCGTGCCCGTTTCGTACGAAATCACATTCTCTAACTTTGTGCGAAGTATATATATACATATATATAAGGAATATATTCTTTATATTCCTTAATTTATCGATTTTATTTAGCTAGATACTTTTACTTTCGTTTATTATTCTCCAAATCTAATTCGAGTCACTGTCCATCATTTGTCACTCAACATTCGCAAGAATTTATCGAGCTTGTGCTCTATTTCCGACGGCCAATAGAAGATCCGTGCTCTGATCGATTGGTACCTTTGGATACCAATTGAACTGAGATAGGTTTTGTACGTCGAATGCGGTTCTGTAAATCGGCCTCGGTGGTTCTAGAATGACTTCCAGTTCCTTCCTGCGTATCGTTGGGACGACGTCTTGGTAATCCGGCTCCGGTGGTCCTGGAACGATTTCTGATTCCTTCCTGTGGTCGTCGTGGACATCGTGCTTTCGACTACAAGACCGCTGTCGTAACCTTCTGCTGGTCAACGTGAATATCATCCGTTTGATGAATCAAATAAGTCGATTGATATAAGCCGTGATAAAGATAGCAGTAACTTGAATTGGTTTTTCTTATGATGAGAATGAAGTACAAGATGATATTGAGGATGATGAAATACAAGATGATGATGATGAGGATGATGAAGTACAAGATGGTAATGATGATGAACAAAAAGGTGATGATGATAAGGGTAAAATACAAGATGATGACGATGATGAAGTACGAGATGATTGTGAGAATGATGAGGTAAAAGATAATGGTGAGGATGATGAAGTACAATATGATGATAAACAAGGTAGTTATGATGAGGATGAAGTACAAGATCTTAATGATGATGATGAAATATAAAATGCTCAAGATGAGGATGAGGTACAAGATGATGATGATGATGAAGTACAAGATGATGTTATACAAAATAGTTATGTTGGGGATGAAATACAGTATGATGAGGATAAAGATAATGAAGTATAAGATGACGACAATGAGGGTGAAGTACAAGTTGATGATGAGAGTGATGAATTACAAGAAAGTAATGATGATTATAACGAACTACAACATGATGATGGTGATCATGAAGTACAGAATGTTCATGATGAGGATGAAGTACACGATGAAGATGAAGAAGTATAAGTTAATGATATATGTATATATGTATATATGTGTTATAGTACAAGATGATGATGATGATGATGATGAAGTACAGGATATTGATGATGAGGATGAAGTACAGGATGGTGACGAGGATGATGAAGTACACGATAGTAATGATGATGAGGATGAAGTACAAGATAATGATGATGAGAATTAAGTACAAGATGATGATGATAAAGTACAAGATGATGAAGATGAGGATGATGAAGTATATGATGATGATGATAATGACGAAGTACAAGTTGATAATGAGAATAATGAAATACAAAATGATGATGAGGATGATGTAGTACAAAATGAAGAAGTACCACATTATTATGAGGATGAAGTACAAGATAATGATGATGAGAATGAAGTACAAGATGATGATGAGGATGATGAAGTACAAGATGAATAGGAGGATGAGTTATAGGATGATGATGTTGGTAAAGAAGAAGTACCACATGATTATGAGGATGAAGTACAAGGATCATGAAGTACAATATGATGATGAAGAAGATGTTGAATTTTATGATGAAGACGATGATGATGATGATGATAAAGTACAAGATATAATGATGATGCTAATGAAGTACAAGATGATGACTATGATGACGATGTACAAGATGATGATGAAATACAAGATGAATGATAATGAAAAACAAGATGATGATGATGTAGTACAAAATGTTGTTGATGAAATACAAAATGATGATGATGTTGAAGTATAAGAAAAATTTCATTTCAAATTTCTCAGATGAATATTATACTAGTTTTCGATGTACAGTATGTAGATGATGGTGAAAAAATCATAAATGAGTATTATGTGATTATTGTGATGTATAGGACCGGTATATGTGGTAATTGATTGTGTAACTTTCATCGATGATTACTATGTTTTTATTGTTATGTACAGGACCGGTATATGTAGTAGTTGATTGTGTAAATTTCATCAATGACTATTATTTTATTAATGTGATGTACAGTACCGGTACATGTGGTAGTTGATGGCGTAAATTTCCTCGATGAATATTAAGTTATTATTGTGATGTACTGAACCGATATATGTGGTAGTTAATGGCGTATATTTCCTCGACGAGTATTATAATATTACTTTTGTACAGGATCGGTAAATGTGATAGTTGATGGTTTAAATTTCATCATGGTTAAATTTCATGAATATTATTTTATTATTGTGATGTACAGTACCCGTAGAGTACTCGTATAGTAGTATGATATCAATTTAATGGATGAGTATTGCGTAAGATAAGGACAAAGTACAGGACCGGTATATGCGGTAGTCGATGGTGTATATTTCATCAATGAATATTAGGTTATTGTAATGTACAGAACCAGTATATGCAATAGTCAATGGTATAAATTTCATCGATGAATGTTATATTATTATTGTAATGTACAGGACTAGTATATGCAATAGTCGATGGTGTAAATTTCATCGATGAGTATTGCGTAATATTAGGACGACGTACAGGGGTATATGAAATAGTTGATGACGTAAATTTCATCGATGAATATCATGTGATTATCGTGATGTACAGGGTCGGTATATACGGTAATTGATGGTGTAAATTTTATCGATGAATATTACGTAAGATTAGGATGACGTAAAAGGCCGGAATATGCCGTAGTTGATATAAATTTCATCGATGAATATTATGTTATTATTGTTATGTACATGTCCAGTATATGCGGTAGTCGATGGTGTAAATTTCTTTGATGAGTATTATGTAGGATTAGGACGACGCATAGGACCGGCATATGTGGTAGTTAACGGTGTAATTTTCATCGATGAATATTTAGCTTATTATATATTCTTTAGGATCATTATATATGGTAGCTGGTGGTGAAAAATTCATCGATGAATATTCAGCTTATTATATGTTCTTTAAGACCATTATATATGGTAGTTGGTGGTGAAAAATTCATCGATGAATATTCAGCTTATTATATGTTCTTTAGGACCATTATATGTGATAGTTGGTGGTGAAAAATTCATCGATGAATCAGCTTATTATACATTTTTTAGGAATAAAGCAGTAAAAATAGTAAAGATATAGGAAGGATAAGTACAATAAATAAATATGTATAAACACATAAAAAGAAAATGTAACATAAAATAATTATAGTACAGTAAAAAAGGATTGAAAAAAAACTGGAGAATATCATTCAGAGTCAAGAAAAATCTAAACCTAAAAATTTAAAATATCAAAAAAACAAATTAAGTTGTTTTGTTTAAACGTTTTCTTTGATTCAGATAATATTTCTGTTAAATTCTACTTTTATATTTCATTTTCTATAGATTTTTCTTAACTTTGTGGTTAAATTTCTTTCCAATGTTTCAATTTTTTTTACTTATGATAAAATTAATTATTAAACTATTATATAACTACAGTATATTTTTTTATATGTTATTTCATTATTTATATATTACTTAATATAATAAATATATTATATATATTATTTATATATATATAATGTTAAATTATATATAATGTTAAATTTTTTTCTTATATGTTGCAACATAATGAACTAAATCTTACAATATTATAACATATAAATGAATTTATTGTTACATTATATAAATAAGGAATAAATAAATATATATAAACACATAAGAAGAGAATGTAACTTAAAAGTTAACTATAGTACAGTAAGAAAGGATTGAAAAATAGCTGAAGAATATAATTTCAAAGTCAAGAAAAATTTAAATCTAAAAATTTAAAATAACAAAAAAACAAATTTAGTTTTTTTGTTTAAATGTTTTCTTTGATTCAGATAATATTTCTGTTAAATCCTACTTTTATATTTCAATTCTTTTAGACTTTTTCTATCTTATTTCTATCTTTCTAAAAAGAATGCAATGTTAAGTACTATAAAGTAAAAAGAGATTACAAAATAATTAAATTATTTAATCTCAAAATTAAATAAGCAAAAAAAAAAATAAGCAAAATAAGCAAAATAAACTCTCCAGAAAACACTACATCATTTTAATTCATTTATTTATTTACAGTATCTACTTTTCTATAATACACTACATTATATAATATCCTTGATTGTGCATGCACTTAATTATAAATATATTTTCTTTAATCAATTATACAATCTTCTGCTCCTGTAAAAAATTCTGAAATAAATTCAAAACTATAACACTAATATTTTACTTATTCTAAAAATTCTTTTTATATTTCCTATATATATTCGATATAAATTAATTCAACATTTTGCTTGGATTAATTAAATTTTGCCATTGAAAACTAACAAAATTTTCTTCATATCTATTATATTCATCCTATTTACATTCACAATCATAATAAATAATTTTACAAAAATTTTTGATACAACATAAAACCACATCTGGCAAGAGAAAAATACAAATTAGTATATATGAATGATAGTTAGTGAACAAAGTCACGTAGCTATGAAGCATTTATTTATAATGAGGAAATTAAGGAATTAAGGATGGCAAAATGATCATATTGCTTTGAAAAATAAGAAATATTGATTTGGAAAACGAATCAGAGTAGGAAGCGAGACTGCCTTTTTTAATAATAATATTTTTTAATAATAATAGAACCATCGCTTATAAATCCCATCTACAAAAAAAGCTAAATCTTTTCTACAATCTAGTCTACCTAATATAAAAATTAGAATATTTATCAGATGATGAGATGATAATCTCTTCCATTGGAAGCTGAAGAGAATTCCTGAAAGAGATTATACAACAAAATTAATAAAATTTAATAACAAAGATAATTAGTTTCTAGCAAATGAGAATCACACATTATGTCGTATTTAGTTTTTCCTATATATTTTCTTTAATTCATAACAAACTCAACCTGTAACAAACTCAATTATTGGATTAGTAATTAAAATATAATTTACATCTAAGAAAAGAAATATCAATTAAAAAAATAATAATCAAAATGTTGTTAAGCAATTCATGATTTTAAACGAAAAATAAAAAGGAAATACATTTTTAAACAGTATTTTTAATAACGAATGCTCTTAATAAGGGGATGCTGAAAAAAGAAAAACGACGACAAGATAACCAAAAGGTTACCAAAATAACTATCCACTCAATGTAATCCCGGAAAATCCATGAGTGGAATTTTTTTCTATTTCGCAACACTAATATACTAAAATCTCAAAAGAAAATGCGAAGAGTGCTTTTTGCATTTCCAATGTAATTCTTCATCAACAGAAAAAAGTAAAAAAAAAAAAACGATAAAATACTTGCGAAAATATATACAAAACGTTAATAAATTAATTTATGTACTCGTATTTTATTAAACACGCAATACTAATAGCGAAAGATTATAGCCATAGTCAGGGACTATCGTTGTACAATCACCCTTTGTACAGCTTTTTTGGCTGTAAATGATTCAGGAAGTGAAATTTCCATAATCCACAATTCAAGTGGAAGAAATTGGATGGGCAATTTAGGTAAATAAACGCAATACTATTATAAAAAACGCAATTATTTATCAACGCAACACTAATTTTATAAATAAATTTAATATAAAATTTATTATTATTCTATAAATCTAAAAAATTACTTTAAATATTGCGATATTATAAATCACAATTACATTAAATAGAATAAAATCAAATTCATATTAAAAAAAAATAATAAAAAACAGACTAATTCATAATGAAAACAATTAAAAGTAACCGCGATATTCTTTTCAACGCTATGCTATAGCAAACGCGATCATCATTTTTTCGTAACTCTAATTCAACCCGTAGGAATCAATCGCAACACTAATGCAAAATCATGATTTGCCCATGATGACTGGAAAAATGATGGGCCAACATGCAAA